TATTTCATTTCTGAATTAAATTTTTTATTTTTATTATTTTTAAATAATTTAAAATAGTCTACTAAATAAAAACACGTAAATTATATAAATATGCAAATTACACATTGCGTTCTCCATACTATTGCAGCTTTCATTAATCATTTTAAATTTTGTTTTGAATAATAATTTGCAGTAGGGCTTCAAGCAAATATAATTTATGCAAAAGCTATTATTTTATCATTATAACAACACTTCTCACTGGGGGGAAAAACACTAATTTCACAAACAAATTGGATCGTGTCAAACTTTTTTGTTTCGCGGCGAACTATAAAACATGTGAAATTTTTTTGCGCACTTCGTGTACAAAATTAAAAATACATTAATGTCGCGTTATTAGCGACAAGAGTATTACTCCGACTAAAAAAAAAGTATATCACATACAGAAAATACTCTTTTATTCATATTCAAAACGATACAACTAAGGCCGATATTCTTGAAACGAGTCTTCTCGGGGTGGATTGTTTCCGCATTACTTACAGTTTAAAAATATAAAAATAAAAAACAAACATTTACAAAAGCCCGAATAAACACAAATATTTTATGCTTACAATTGTATCATTAATATATTTTAATTACGAATAGCTATGTGTTTTCAAACACCAGCTTAATTATATTAATTTTAGATACAAGAGAAGATAATTTTGCCCATAAATTCGGCAAAGATATCTTATTTTATCTAAAATATTGCAGCACATAAATATTTAATATTTTAATTAATTTATTTCAGATAATTCAATGGGTTTTAATACAAATTCGTAGGATTCTCGATTAGGTCAAAGTTTTCGGCAGGAATTTTAATGTAGATATAAAATCATTCCAGACATTTCTAATCCAAAAATGTTTCTAATTTTTATCGAAATTAAAGGGATTTATTTTTACAGATTAAAGGAAAACTTAAAGAGATTATAATCATGTTTTTCACTGAAGATAGATGCTCTAGAATTCAGAGTTTAGATTCTAGAACCTTATACATAACAAATTTTAAACTTTTCCAAATTTTGAAGATAATTTTCTGTTTCTAATATTTAACATTAAAAATAAATAATAACTTATTTATAAGCATGTAAACATCTTGATATAGTTTCTATTTAAAAGGTCATGTGATTAGATTCCAATTAACTCTTTTAATTAGATAATTATATAATACTATATCAAGGAGATAAGACGTTGTAATTCATTAATAAATCCTTTATTAACCAAGATTATTAAGACTTTTCATCATAAACAACATTGAAATAGGTTTTCTTTATNAAAAGGTCATGTGATTAGATTCCAATTAACTCTTTTAATTAGATAATTATATAATACTATATCAGGGAGATAAGACGTTGTAATTCATTAATAAATCCTTTATTAACCAAGATTATTAAGACTTTTCATCATAAACAACATTGAAATAGGTTTTCTTTATCATACCTTTACTCATTGGATATTCATGAGTCACATGTGACATCCAATCAAAATACTGTATATGGTTTACTTCTGTTGAATGAATTGTTATTGTCCTGTCAAAGATTTAACTTTTTGTGTTATGTTTTGTTACCTAATAAAGTAGATATACTAACTTGTAAGAATTTAATTGCAAAATATGGTGTAAACAATAATGGCATGAGTCAGATTAAGAAATTTATTGAATGTTTCTGGTCTTTGAACTTATTCTAATTTATAATTAAAATAATGGTTGCTAATGTTCCTACTTAATCATTAGATTTATCTACTTTTATAATTTAATAGCATTTAAATATAGTTTACAATATTTAATGTTTTCAAATCTTGCAAATCCATTATGTGGCATAGATCTATTTCTGTGCGAGTGTAATGAAAACATTAGTTGTATTGTGTATTGTTTTGATTTGTATAATAATTACATGTTAAAATGTACTATGAAAGAGTGTATTATGATATGCCAATGAAGTAAATCATTCTATTATTCAGTTAAAGTTTCTATTAATGATTAATTTTGAAACAATTGTATTGTTTGACATTAATTTAGATGTGCTCCCTATTTTTACAGATTATACTATAATTTTAAAGTGTATGTTACATTAAACAAACAGTAATGGAAATTATATTCCTGCAATTTAAATGATAGAATAAGAAAAACTCCAGTGAGTTTGAGTTTTGAAAAAGTTTAAGTTTCTTAATTTGCAATTTAATTTATAAATAAATAATTTGCAATTTAATTTATAGAATGAAATGTAACTATTATCTAATGGTATTATTTTTCCATTATTATCCTTTTTGTAAATAGGATAAAATTTTCTATATAAAGTACCATTTATTTTGAAGAAATATAATTTTTCACATATCACACAAACTGTATTAAACTATGGCTAAGTTTTAGAATACCTAATGTAAAAGCAAAGTTTGTATAGGAAAAATAAATCTTTAAAATTGTATTAAAATTTGGAGCTTCTTTATAATGATGGAAAACAAACTGTGTTTACTAGAGGATATGTTAAATTGTATGGTAATATTTTAAAGAAACTCAAATAAATGATTAGACTATAGAAGTGTTACAGTTAGAAGACATTTGTGTTCTATAGAAGTGTATCACTGCCAAAAGATTTTCAATTACAGTAGAATTTTCATGGTTTTTTGCTCTTATTTCATTATACATTTTGACTGTAGGCCCTCCTCAGATTATGAAAACTCTGAGTGAAATCTTTTAGTAGTGTTACATTTGTAAAATTCATCTATTTAATATTTATTCAAAATAATACCATACTGGTAACAGGTTTTTTTTGAAAAATATATGTGATGATGATGTATTAATTTTCAATTGAAGTATTTTTTTCCATATTTGTAATGCTCATTTTGGATTAGTGGTATAATGGCTTTCTAATATTAGCCAGAAGAAAATATTTCAAGTATTAACACAATATTTTGTTGTATTTTATATCAGAAAGAAAAGAGAAAAAACTGCCAATAACACATCACATTTTAAAGGTTTTACATGAAATAGAAAAACCAATAAATGCAACTTTTTATTTGTTTAACAATAATAATATATTTACCATAAGAAAAAAAGTAATATAAATGTATGTATGATTGAAATTCTGTATATAACTATATGAAATAAAATTGTTTCTATTAAAAAGGCAAAAACAAAACAAAATTACATGAAAAGTGGATGGGATAAAAAATGCAGCATATGGGCAATCTGCCAGGGGATAGTGCCTCCAAAGGATTTTTAAAGGAACCGGTTACTATCTAAATGTTAGACAAGTGAGGAAAACCTGGAAGATGGCCAGCTCATTGGTTGGATACAAAACCCCAACCATCCATTACTTGTTAGTGATTTTTATCCACTCATTTACTGGTTGGCCTAATGAGAAGTTTACAATAGAATGTCATATTTTATAATTAGTTCATTAGTGGAAGATTACAAAAGATCTTAAGATACATTAATTAAGCAAGCAAATTCTGATAAAATATTTAATGATTTAATTTCTAACTATTATGATTGAAAATCTTACTAACAAATCTATTGGCTAATTTAGAATTAGTTTTATGTATATTTATTGAATATTCTTGTTGGTGAGATCCAGTTTTATTTTCAAGTGGTTTTTATATGGAAACACCAGTTCATATATAAACATATCATAGCCTATTGATATCTAATTAGGGTTGTCATAAATCTGGGTTTGGACTGGAAAGTCTTGGAATTGTGGCAATAACTAGGATTGTGTTCAGAAGTAGGATCTAAATTTCTTTGTGTGGGAAGAAATAAAGAAAAAATAAATTATTTATAGCTGCAACAATAATTCTATGGTTTGGAAGATTGTTATGGACTAACTGCCTTGGCCATCCGGCCTATTATATATCCAGCCCTTATATTTTAATTTTAAAAAATATTGTATTATTATTACATCTGTATTATACGATAAAAATATTAATAAAATTAATAAAAGAATGAAATTGAAAAGTAATATTAGTTAAGCCAAACTGAAATTATTATTATATTTAAATAGTAGCTAAAAATAAATGAATACCAGTTGTTTTTATGTTTATGAGTTAAACCGAAAAGTAAGGGGAATTAAATTTCATCATGAAAAAATTAATGATTAATTAGCTGATGATCATTTAATTTGTTCGTAGATGACTGTTTTATTAAGATTAGATAACATAAAACATTACTGTAATCACATTATTATTCATAGATGTTTGGGACATTTGTCTGGAGTTCAGTTAAAAGGGAACAGTTAATTTTAGATTACTTTGAAACAAGATCAGATATACAGTATATTACAGTAACAACAATTTATGAACAGTCGTATAATAATGATCTATTTACTATTTTTCTTTGTCTTCAACGAATATATACAAGTACATTAAAAATTCATATTTTTTAATAGAATTACATCTGTAGGGGCATTGAGAGTAGTTGCCAGACCCAGAGAAAAAAATTTACATGGGTTCCAAGTGAATAAATTATTCTAAAATTTATTTTCAGTTTTTTTATGGATATATTACTTTTTTACAAAATAAAGAATAATTATTGTTAAGCATTTTATATTATAATAGTGTAAAAATACAAATTGTGGGATAATGTCCAGGCTCCTGTGAATCCCAGGTTTGGAGAATACAGATTTATGTCTTTATGTGATGTGAAATTTACATATTCTTCATAGCAACAGATAAAATCAAATAATTTCTCATGTTTCATAACAGATCATTACTTTGTTATAAAAAAGATCATTATTTTACTTCTGATAATAAATAATCTAATATTATGATGCATAATCAGAAATACTGAATTAATTAAAACTTTTAAAGATGCATCAATTAATATTTCATCACATTTATAAAATATCTATAATTGAATATTTTGATGGTAACAATGTTAACTAGTATAGCATTTATATTAATTAATATTGTTAATTCAGTAAAACTTATTTATTATTCATATTGAATAAATATATAATAATATATTGAAAGTTTTCTGTTTTATTTAACAGATCTAAAGAATTAATTAAAAAGGCAATTTTAGAAAATGATTTTATGAAAAATTTAGAAATTGTACAGATAAGAGAAATCACAGATTGTATGTATCCAGTAATTTATCCAAAAGACAGTCTCATTATCAAAGAAGGAGATGTTGGTAGCATTGTTTTTGTTCTAGAAGGTAAGTTAAATATTGTAATTGTCAATATTTGAAATATTTTATATTTACCAGTATAGAATGATTGACATAGAGAGCAATAATGATATACAAACTTATTAATTTTTATTAATATCTTTGTCTCTGTCAAATTGCAGTTCAGTCTGATTAGTTAGCTAGATAATGTACCCAGAACGAATAACTTATGTGCACAGAAGCAAATGTTTTCAAACTACATCAGATTTCTTCAAGCATTATAATTATTTGCATTAGTTTTTTGCTTCTGTGCACATCGGTTATCAGTTCTGTTTACATTGTTAACTATATATCTTGATGCGATGTAGTGTTTTTACTAGTTAGCTAGATAATATACATCTGAACACAAGTATTTTTTTTTTGGTTTTTAAGTGATAATCATTGTAAAAAATGATTTTGATCAAAACCTGTTCCTTTAGAACTGTATACAAGCATGATTGATTCTCTCTAAACATTTATTTAATATAGATTTCATTTTATGAAATCATGATTATTATTATATAGTACATGCCATGTTTAGTGTTGAAAATTAATGCATGAAAGCTTGTATAGGTATTTTTTATTTTATTAATGATCTTATTTGATAATCTGTTTTCAAATGCAGATCATATAATATTTGATTTTTTATTACTTGATGCAAAATGTAATTTTTGGTGATCTGTCCCACTTTGTTTTCATTCACTCAGACAATTACAACTTTGCTTTACTATAATTTGCAGCAGCAAGAAATTTAATACAAAGCATGTTTTTATAATAAGGTTTTACCTCAAGTATTATTTATTTAAATGATATCCATA